GTTTAATTTTTACTTTTATTTATATTTATACTGTATTTGATATATGCCATAAAAAACATCCCATCTCTCTTTTAACGTATTATTCAAGTAATTCAAGCTTCTAGAGGATTTATTGAGTAATAATGGTATTTTGTATGATGGTGAATATTTTTAATAAATAAATATAAATTTTTAAATATTAATTTTCAAACATGGTTAAAGATGCGTAATTGAATTTATTAACAGTAATTAAACAATTGTATGTGTTTTCTAGGTTAATATTTAACAATTTTTCTTTCGCTTTCTTGTGAAGTGAAATGATTTCAAACAATTGTGTGCTTTATCGTTTAAATATACAGTATATAGTTCTTAATGATTACTTCGTTTCAACTATAAATCCTTCATCTATTTTATATAATTAGTAAGTTTTACAAGTTTTTGAAAGATTTATCGGTCTTCTAACATATTTACCTTAGGCTTTACAAATGAATAAGCTCGGATACCTATACCGGCCAAATGTACTTAGATCACGAGACATAATATATAAATTATAACTTATAATTATGAATGCAAATCCAGATCAAAGACCAACGAGCGATGGGTTGTATGACATATCGATCTTTTGGTATCAATCTTTTAATGAGAATTATAAAAATACAAAAGAATATGGATATTATGGAAAAGAAATAAAGGAAGCATTTGAAGAGGCAAATAAAGAGATACCTTATATTTCAATTTCACGCAAACGAATCCTGATGCTATATATACAAGTAGAGCATTTACATTTAAAAATTTGACAAAACCTATTAATTCGTCTCTTATCACCTCATATCTTGAAAAGAATGAGAATAATGAAAGTAATATATATTTAACTTTTTTATTTCGATAACGAAATGTTAATTACAATTCATTTTAACAGAATTTCAAGATTCTCAACTAATTGAATTAGGAATTTCTAGCTCATTACAATTAATAGCTAATATGACATGACACATCGATATTTATAATTGTAATTTCAATATGAACTAATATAGATTTATTATATTTATTTTTAACTTCAGCATATTATGTACCGATATGATTATGCGAACACAATATATTTGACTTGTAATATTAGTTTAAATGTAATTTTAACCTTTTATGTATTAAATAAGCTTACATCTTATGGAACGCGTAATAATGAAAATCTAAATATGGCAAAATCATATGATTTTATGAGACGTTTGCCAATATCCTCCCATATATTAAAACCATGTGCGCTTAACGAATATTCGACAAAGTTTCTTTAAAGTCCGTATAACTGCATAATTTTTTCTTATGAGTATTAGGCTATATTATAAAGAACTATTTGACCAAAAGTAAATATATTTAACGAATGTCGGCATCCAACATTATATTATCAAATTATTTTAATGGATAAACAGCAATGTCCGAGTTCAGAAGTTTCTTAATATTCAGGGATTTGGTTTTAACTAATATCACTAAAGAAAATTGTAAACAAGATTAGTAATTCGTAAAAAATATGTAGTTACATCCTTGTAAATAATTGATTAGTGAATACTTTCATTTCCTACTTGATCATTTTTTAGAAATAGGCTATCGAAAGATTTAGTTAAGAATATATTCTCGGATACAAAAATTTACATTCTAAAGCATATTGCGTAGCTCATAACAAGATTTTCGACGACTTTGCTAAAAAAAGAATGTAAAGCGCAGCTTTTTTATGAGACGTAACAAATTTATTACAATTGCTTTTAAATTTGAAATTTTCTGCCTTGAATGTAAAGTAAAGCATTATCTTTAATATTTACTATAAAAAACTAAGGAAAGAATTTATATTCTTGAAAAGGTAGATACTTGCAAACAAGAATAATTTCATAAATACATAAGGAGATACACAGTGAAATGAAACTATCTTTCCAGTCAAATAAGTCAAATATCCGGTATATGGCAAAAATTTTGATATACGGATTTCATATAAAACCATATATGGTAATCCGTTTTATATTGGGAATTATCATTATCAGTTGTTTTCTATTGTCTTTCTCCATCTTTATAGATAGAAACGGAAAATGATTATTACGTGATACGTTATTTTTATGATAACTTCATTTATGGAACTTGCTAAAAGCTTATATGTTGGATAGAAATAAATTTATGGTTTGGTTAATATTTATAGCTTACAAATTCGAAAATTATTAAAGGACTATATCTCATTTGGAGAAAATTGGTGATGCATCGATTAATTATTTTTAATCTGATATCAATTTAAGGTATATGAACGCTTTTCTTTTAACAGCTATTCTTGACTTTAGATATGGTCATGCGGAAACCAGTAATATCACAATAAATGCATTCTTTCGAAACTCGAATCAGAATCTGATCCTTAATATTCTCGAGCCAACTTTAAGTAACAGACTATTATTAATTTATCGGAAAACTATGGTTGCCTAGCAAAACTCATTTTAGCAATTGGCAAAAGTCGAAACCCTATATTTCGACGGATTTGTTAATGAAGTTTTGACTCTGACGGGATTTATTATGCTTCGAGTTTCGACGGTTTTGCCAATAAGATTTTATTATAGTTTTGCCAATGACCCGTCGAAACCCAAGAGTTTGCTACACATCTATATCGGAACTATAATTGCTGCACATACTTCATATTTAGAATCCCATTCCCATAACAATCCCATACCATACCCAATCCCAAATCCCATTTAATAATAATATATTCTTAAGAATATGGGAGGTAAGCTATTAAAATCACGTTACGGATCATATGATTTACTATGTTCGTAACTCGCTTTTAATAGCAAACCTCCCATATCTCAAATCAATGTTTAACAAACTATATCGTTCACAACTAATGATCAGAATTTAATGATATATTGCTACTTAGCTTCGTCTCAATGAGAAGATTCAATGGTTATTATTTTATTTTTGTAAATTAGATATTGGGATTTGGGATGGAATGAAATAAGGACTTTATCCCTACCCATATAGTACGGGTAACAAGATAATCGGAACCTAATCGTAAATTATTTTTCAGAAATGATTAGATTCATAATTAAAAATTTTTTAAAATTTTCACTACGACTACGAAGACTGTAGGAAAAAAGGATAGTGATTTAAAAATTTGCGAAAATAGTAGCGTGTTTAACATTGACATCGAAACACACCAAACTTTCGAAGAATCGAAATATACGCGGAAAATTATAATGCTTACAATATCAGATTTGATTAACCATAAAACATGTATTGAAATTTAACCATTATATAAGGCAACGAATCATAATATTGGGCATACTATTGTATATTTATTTGCAAGAAACTTTGTATGAAATTTAAATCACGATAAAATCATGAGCTAGGTGCTATTATGAAAAATTATGTATAAATTATATCACTGATCGAGAAACATTCCAAATGTGAATTTTTTTTTTTACTTTTTTTAATCAATTTATTCAAAAGACTCAACTGAATGCTAAAAAGTAAAATCAAATTTTAGAATGATTTCTTATGATAAATTTATAAATATTGAATATCTATATAAAAGAAGGATTTATTGAAAGTTGGTCTTATTATGAAATAGTGGATTAGAAATAAAGTGATTACTCCAAGAGATCGTATTAAGAAATGACTAAAATGTAATTGATTAAAATGTTTGCTTAGTTTATAAATAAACAACTTCCTGCGATAATAGAATTATAGTCTGTATTTATATTAAAATCAATTTTAAGGAAATTATTTAATTTTCCTGACATTTATGAAATTTCATGGCCTTTATTAAGAATTTGTTAACAATGAATATGGTTCTAATTAATTATCCATTTGAAAAAGTTAATATAAAATAGTAATTATTTTTACGATTTAATTTATTACCAAAAAAATTTTATTAATTCTTATTTTTCCTCACAAAATATAAAATGCAAAAAATTATATAATCAACCAACGTAAAAGAAAGAGCTCAAATGACTTAGTTGATAAATAAGGTACGTTAATTTGTAAAGTCAGAAATAGAATTAGCTATTGTTATAACGATATCATTGTTGTGACAGAAATTACATTATGTTCGACATCATAAAACTCGAGAATATTCTACTCGAATTGGATCACAAGTAGATGTTGGGATATTTGATATCAATTAATCATATAGAAAGTATACCCTACGTAATAAGAGATTTTATGATGATGTATTAAAATAATCCATGTGATTAAACCGCAATTCCAACTCTATAGACTATTTCATCGGCAAAGATTTAATTTGATTCAAGCATATGACTTATAAAATTTGGAATTCAAAGTCAATTTAGTTGTTATTCAGGTTTAAAATATAATGATACAGGGAAATATTAAAACCTTCAAATGTTTATTTATAACCAATATTATTTTTACCTAAAAGTTAATGGAATAATACAACTTGCAATGAGTTATGGAATTTATAAATCAACTAATTTAGTATCTTGAAATTTATTTAACCATCCTTAATTTATCCATGAATTAAAATTTTTTACGTAATACCTTTATTATCCCCATCCTGTTCAAGATCGGTGAATTAATAGGCTTTGTCAAATCTTTTAAAGCAAATGATCTACTCGTATATAAGTATCAGGATTTGTTTTACGGTATCACTGTATGATAGATAATAAATTTTGATAATTAATTAAATGATGTTCATTAAAAATGAAAAAAAAAATATATATATATATATTTTGTCTGCTTTTTAAAATAAATATACACGCAATAAAAAGAAAAGATAAACGAATATGCAAAGTTCGTCGCTCGTGCCTTTCTTTATAAATTGTTTTGGCTGGAAAAGAAAAAGATGCAAATCGAAATCAACATTATAGAAATAATATTTTATTTTATATAAAAAAGTCACATTTATTAAATAATTACATCAACATAAAATTATCAAACTTTGCGGGATTCAATTTTTTATATTTTGTAATCGTGCAAGGAAGGAAAAGATAAAGGATTGGAAGGGTAAGAGGGAGGAACAACGTAACTAATATACAACCCTAACTATCCAAATAGTTCAATGCTAAAAGTTGACTTTTTGATAATATTCCAGTGAAGTGTCTAATCTCGCGAGTTAAAATACCAAGGACATCTCTAATCATCCACTCCATCATTTGCACCAGATAATCCAATTCTTCTTTTTCTCTTTCCCTAGTTATTTGTATTTCATAATATAACTTATAAAAGAAAATGTAAGTAATGTTTAATCTTTTAAGGAAGCTAAAAAATACGTGTAAAGTTTCGAAATGTGCAAATTCATACAAATAAAAGATAAATAATTTTCAAAGGATATATGATTTCTGGTAATTTTTAAGTTAAGATGCCAAAATATTTAAAGAAATTTGTATTGAGAGTTCTTTAAGTTATATTAAGGTATGGGAATTTAAAATAATGTACACAAGCCGACCATAAAGCGGCAAATTACAAAAATATACATTAAATATAATCTTCATGACCGTTTATTTTAAATAAATTTCTTTTAAATTATGTCAAATAAAATATTTCAATATCATAAAAATATTCAAATCTATCTAACTATTTACACTTTATTTTTCATTAGCCATGTATATTATTTTAAAGGTTTTAATTTGTCATTTCCATTAACAAATTTTAAAATAATAAAGATTTTGTCTAATTATTATTATAAACAAAAATCATTCTAAAGCTAAGCCTACTATATACTGTATTAAATATTGATATTCAACAAAACTAAGATATTCGGCTAACAATTATAATTGACCTGTATTTTCTATCTTAAAATCATCATAATAATGATAGAAATAAAGTTATTTATCCAACCAATTTATTTTAGAACTGCATTGATCGAAGTTAGAGAATTTAGAGTTCATGAGACGCAATAACAATCATTCGAAATATGCAGTAAAATAATTTTCTAAACTTACGACTTTGCTTTATTGTGATAATTATGAAAATTACTTATGGAATTTTTTTTTTCAAATTGATTAACCAAATTAATTATCTTGATTCATTTTTAAAGGTGATTCATTAATTTTATGAAAACAAACATTTTAACTAAAGCGCTAAAACGTCTTATATAATGTTAGTGATTGGAACCATCGTTAAAAATTTTAACCCATTAACCGCTAAAAATTTAACCAGATAACCGCAATAAAAATTATATTTTATAATTAAATTTAATTGGTAGACACTGTATAATGTAACAAAATAAACTTTTTCAATTGCAAGAGTGAAGTAAAAAAAAAAATTTTTTTTTATTATTTTTTAAGTGAATTAATTGCAAATTTTATAAAAAAAATTTTAATTTATTTTTTGAATTTTGTTTTAACGTTATTTTTATTTTTATTTTTATTATTATTTTCATACTAGATTGGAATATCATACGATGTTTTTTTTATGAATTCCAACTTGCCAAAATAAGTCAAGTCAGACTTTGAATTTCCTGATTTGATTACACCTTACAACTTGTTTGAAACTAATTCTAAAAAATCGAACCCAAACCTCTAACCGGAATCTCTAACCTTGGAACCTTTGGGTGGAGGTAAGTCCTAATGCAATAATTTAATTAGATTTTTTTTTATTTTAAAAAAGATACTAACATTAATTTACCTTGTAGACTGATCCGGAATCTCTAACCTTGGAACCTTTAGGTGGAGGTAAGTCCTAATACAATAATTTAATTAGATTTTTTTTATTTTTTAAAAAAAATACTAACATTAACTTACCTTGTAGACTGATCCGAAACATCTAACCTTAGAATCTTTGGGTTGTAGGTCAGTCCTAACGCAATAATTTTATCAAATTTTTTTTATTTTTTTAAAAAAAATACTAACATTAACTTACCTTGTAGACTGATCCAGAACCTCTAACTTTGGTACCTTTGGGTGGAGGTAAGTCCTAATACAATAATTTAATTATATTTTTTTTTTTATTTTTTAAAAAAATTACTAACATTAACTTACCTTATAGACCAATCCCTGAACCTTTAACCTTGAAACCTTTGGGTGGAGGTAAGTCCTAATAAAATAATTTTTTAATTAAATATTATTTTTTTAAAATTTTTAAAAAACTTAACACAAAGTTACCTTGTAGAATGATCCAGTACCTACAAAAAAGAAAGAGGTAATTAATTGTTAATGAAAATTGGAAAATTTCTTTTTGATTTAATTGATGAATAAAATGTATGCTGATCTAGTAAATCTTAACTAAATTTTTCCTTTTCACAATACTTTTTTCTTAAATAATAACTGATAGAAGGTTAAAGGTTAAAGTATTATTACTTTAGTTGAGGCATGCTACAAATTAAGCATTTATTATTTAATTGTAATATAATTTATATATTATTTTTTAATAAAATTTCATTGATTTATTGTATTTCAATAAATATTCTTACATATTTTATTAAACTTAATAAAAATTCAGAGGTGGTCATTTATGGCTTAGAGTCTGACGCATTCCCTTCCTTTCAAGTTTTAAACTTGATAAATCCAAATTGAATTATTTTGATTGTGTTAATATGTTGATTTTTCTAAGTTACATTATTTAGGATTATGAAGTAAAAGCATTCATAACAATGCTACTTATTTGGCGAAGTTAAATTGATAATTTCGCAATTACAATTTAATTTACATCTTTTTTCCTAAGCAATTCTTATTACCTCTATGTGGTGTTTAGGATTAACAGTTATAGATTATTCTATATCTAGCTAAATGCAAGTATATATATTTATTAAAAATTTAATCATTTCATATTATGCATTATATTACTTCATATTATATATTACATTGCATTACATTATATTATTATTTTATATTATACATTACATTACATTACTTTATATTATTTGTTTTATATATTTTTTTATATATTTTGAATCTATAAAAGAAGTTAAAAAGATATTAAAATGATTAATAATAAAATTAATTTAAAAATTATTTATAATAAAAAAATTTAAAATTTATAATGTATAAATAAATATCCTGACAAGCTCATTTTCATCAAAATAAGGCTCTTAGAAATATTAAGGATATAGATCAATTAACTGATTCATATGATTCAACAAAACATAGAATACAATTGAGCACTCGTGGATTATATACATTAGATAAAATTAAATATTTAAAAAAGCATTGGTAACAAGTTTCTCTTATTCAAAAGATTGCATATCTTCATCAAATAATATTAAAAAGAAATATGAGATTTTTTTAAGAGATTTATTAATTATAAAGTTAATTCGAAAACTAAGAATTAATAATTCTTACGAAAAATCTGAATTTTATTGCATTTTAGTTTTTAATGTTATTAGATTAAAATGTATTAAGCTCTTTATTTTAGTCACAAATTTCTCAGAACCTGGTTTTCTAGAAATACTTCCATATAATAAATAACTATAAAAATAAAGATGAAAATAATAAGAATAAGAATAAAGATGAGAATATGGATGAGAATAAGAATGAGAATATAGATAAGAATGAGAATGAGGATATAGATGAGAATATAGATGAGAATGAAGATATAGATAAGGATAAAGATATAGATAAAGATATAGATAAAGATATATAGATTTCTTTTAGTAAATAGTTAGGGATAGAAAAGTTACCAATTAGAAAAAAAGTAAAAAAAGTTATCAAAAATAAATGAAGAAAACTTCAATATGGTTTAATTTATCAAAATAACCAAAATATAGTATTGAATATTAATACTATTAGTAATGATTTTAAATGCAAGGATAGTTTAATTAAATCAGCAAAAGAAAATAATAATACATTAGATAAATTAAAAAATTATTATTATTTAACAAAATCTGAATGTATTGTAGATTAAAATAATCAAATTTTAATACATTTAGATAGCATTAATAATAATAATGCTATTTTACAAGCTATAAAAGCTGTAAATAATTATTATTTTCATACATTAAATAATCCATCATACAGAAGTGATTTTTTTTGGATGATATGGCTAAATATTTTGAAGCTTATAGAACATATAATCAATTTTCTTATATTAGTGCAGAAATAGCAAGTAATCATAATCAAAATCATTTAAAATGTGTAAATAAATTAATCATTGCTTTTGAACTATTATCAAATTGTGTTAATCAATTTGTTAAAAAGAATTATAATAATTTATATACAAAATTAAGCAATTTTTCTTGGAATCTATTTGTATCAAGATTTTTTAGAATTTTTCTAATGATTGCTATTAATTTTAACACAATAAGTAATTTTTATTGGAATGAAAAAGATGAAGAAAATTATTTTTGTGTTTTAATTATTTTAGGAAATTATAAAGGAGGTGAATTCATTTGTTTATATAAAGAAATTATATGCATGCATATAATTTTTTTTTATTTATAAATACATTCTTTAAGATTTTTTTTTTTATAAAAAAAAAAAAAAAATTAAAAACAGTAAATAAATTTTAAATTTTTTAATTTTATTTATTTAAATAAAAAAAATTATTTTTATTAATTTTTATAAAGATTTTTTAGAATAAATTAGTTAAAAAAAATAAAATAAATTATTGTATATTAGTAAGATTAAGATATGTACAAGAATATTGCTATTTATTTAATAAATAAATATTTTAATTTTTATTACTTTTGTTAATTTTTTTTAAAATAGAAAAAATATAATCACCATTATATAAGTATGCCTATTCTGAAGTAAGGATTTATTTATTTTTATATAAGTACTTTAAATTTTTTTTTTAAATTTAAGTTAAAATTAAATAAAAGAAATATCATTAAATATGAATAATTTTTTAACAATTTATTTATTTCTTATATCTTAAATTTAATTTTTAAATTTAAATTTTAATTTTAGATTTCATTTATTTTTTTAATTTTAATTTTAAATTTTAGATTAATTATTTTTTTTTAAAAAAAATTAATATTTGTGTTCTAAGAATTCTATAAAAAGGTAAGTAAGCAGACAATTATTTTTTTTTTTAAAAAAAAATAAAATAAAATAAAAAAATATTAATTAATTTCCTTTATATTAATAAAGATTTCTAGATCCTATAAAAAAAGGTAATCTTTTAATTATTATAATTAAACTCTCATTTGAAAAAGAATAAAATTTTGCATTTATTATAATAGTATATCATACGTTATGAATTGATTTAGGCTTATTTGTAAGTACAAAACTATCTTAATCTATTTTGCTTAAATTTAAACAGAAATTGATATAATTGATATCATAATATTCATATTTAAAGTTCATTACAGCAAATTAAAACTTTGTATTTTTACTAAATTATTTAATTTTCTAGAAAAAG